TGATCTCTTGTCCAGATTGTGCAATGTGTTCCGCTATATCTGATTTCTATTCATTTGATGTTACTAGTTTCGTGTGCTGATTTGTCTCTGTTTCGTCAATATACTTCTTTTTACAGACGCCATATGCTATGCAGTAAACTCCCGATGAATCCAAAATATCTACACTTATGTTGCATGTGTAAATTTGTAAAGTGTTTTTTTTTATTTCGTAGTCACTTGAATATTCCATTTTCTTAATATTGGCTGTAGTTTTTGGGTTATTTCACAAGAGGTTAGTTATATCCACTTTTGTGAATCTCTCTCCATCCTATTTTTCTCTAATACTCCTCCTGTTATCGGTTTTCATGGCCCCTATATTCCTTTGTATCGTTTCTCTCGATTATTCCTTGTCAAGGGACACTGAAATCAATAGTAAAATTCTTCATCCCAGAATTCCACTGTAAACTGCATATTACAGCAGTAGGTTTAGCAAATTATTAATAGCAGAATTGTAAGTGACTTTAGCAATATACTCTTGTTCGCTTCGGTTGCTTTCGTTAGGAGGCTTTTACATCAGAGTTGGCCTTACGATAGTCAGTTTGTTATGACAATAATAATAAAATATACCGGATAACTTAACCCCAGCTTTTAATCGCAACTTATAATTAAATATGCTACTTTATTCAGGTTTGTTTAGCTTGTGCCTATTGCATATGTTACATAACGAATAAAGTTTATCCAGTCTAATCAAGCCAAGAATTACCACAGTCTACATTAAGTACGGATATTCTGAGACATTTTTAAAGGCTCTTAAGCTCCAAAATTGGAGTTGCCGATACAAAAATTAGAGTTTTTTTATGTACTTCACACACCAAACGTCTTTTTCGGACCAAATGCTTACGGCCCTCAAATCACCTCGAGGGAGATGTCAATCTTCTGGGCTTACTAAAGTGCTCAATGAGCCAATTTCCTATAGACGTATCTAAATCGATGGGGGCTATTGGTGATATTCCCCGAGTGAGTTTCACATTCTGGCCTCCAAAATTTTGGGTTCCGCCCTGCACAAAATTCATTGTTGGTGTCGACCAAAGCTCTCAAATATTGACCACCTACAATCATGCAGCAGGACTAGAGGCTATTTTTATATTTTTTTCTAGCCAGTACAGAATAATTTTATTTGCCTAGTTTTTTAACCTCTCAATAGCAAGAGAGAATCAGATCTGCTCGAAACGCCTGGTCCTTAACCACCTAAGACACCGCTGCTCCATAAGGAGATTAATGGTAATTCGCTATGATGTTTACTTAGCTCTATGATTAAACCTGTTTCATTAACCTGTGAAAGTACAGTCGCTTGGTGCTTAATGCCCGTAATGCCCCATTTGGCAGAAGTGTTAAGATTTCCTTCCGCTTAACCGGACACTGATTGAAATTTATTCTTTTTAATCTAGATTTCCCTTATTTCATACAGGCACTTGGAATGCCGACTATCGCTTTTATATGTCTATCTAGCCAGCTACCCTGTTCAAATGTATTACTTGTACCCATCAAACCCGAAAAAATTTCAGCTTTGTCTTATCTTGTACTATCCGTTACTTTCCTAACAATATTACTTTTTAGGAAGTAAAATTTCCTAAACCTTTCTCATACACTTTTATATGACCCCATTTTCAATACTACCCTACACACATTTATCATCTTAAGACTTGTCTTAGTTTTCCTACTTCTTTCATTCACAGTAAGAAGTAAAATGAGAAAACTTTTATCAACTGGTACTTCTGAATTCAAGCCAATTAGTTAAAAATCATTCCCTTTTCGCTTTATCATATACCAATTCATATCACATCAAAGCTTTTTTTGATATTTAGTCAGCATAGCACTGATGACTTATGAATTTAAATCCTTTTTTTTGTATTTATCCCAGAGCCGCGCGTCAACGAATGGACAGAGGACATGGACCGTCGTATTCACTTCGCCCTAGAATACGGCAAACGACGATGCTTTCTTAACCCTGGTGACTTCGTTATTATTGTGACTGGCTGGAAGGCCGGTTCAGGGTCTACCAATACTCTTCGCGTAGTCCGCATCGACGACGAACTAAATAGACCGATTGTCGTTGTGCCTAGTATCACTAAATTCGAAGACTAACTACGTTTTACCGGAGTTCTACGTTTTAGATTAAGTAGAAACTAAAAAATCTTATTCATAGTATTCTCTACACCTATCAACTAGCGCCTTTTTGAATTTTGAACCTTTTGCTCCATATCTTAATATTGCTCATTTTTCTCTTTCTAGTCAAGCTTATTTTTGTATCTCTTCTGGTGGCAATTGATGTTAGTTGTAATTGAACCGGATTTTTCAAATCATATCTATTTTGATGAGACTTTCTGCCTCAATATTTTTCTTTACCTGCACTTCCCATTTGCCTATTTATCTCTAACAAGGTGACAAGCTAAATAATTTAGCCCTTTCATGCCTATTCTATCCAAACCATTTAAGTGGGCGTAAATCTTCAGACCCAGAAGCCTAGAGAGTGATCGACCATGTTAGTCATGCTTATTTTCATGTATCTTCACCCTCTGTTGCATGTTGGACTGCACTTATTATCATAATCTCTGCTCACTTCTTATACCTTCATTTAAAGAGGCCTCCGCTGCTGC